GGGAGCGGGTGGGGGGGGGGGCACCTACTCAGTTGGGTCTGATAGAAAGAGCTAACCTCAATCACTAGACAATGTTCTCTTAGAAAACCAAATGATGGACAAAGTCCAAGACTTTAGGCTGCTTTTTTTCTTTTGATTCCCAGCCATGCATGTAACTTCTTCAATAATGAATATTTTATCAATGCACTGACAAAGGACTCTTCATTGGAAACGAGTCTGTGAACCGTGACTACTACTGATTTTGTTATATAGCTGTCAGCCGCTGGTGGTGGGAGACCTGATTCTATTACCACAAAGATTAAATTATTCTGAAGCTTTCTAATTTTATAATTTTTGCAATATTTCAAAGAATAAAAAAATATGATTACAAAATAGAAAAGGTATATAAACTATTTAAAAATTTTGGTATATAGGAAAATGGATTCATCCTTAATAGTCTACATCTTATTGCAAGATTCTAGGTTAAAAATTGTAATGAACAAACTACAGTTTATTTTATGATTCTCTCCTAAAGCATTTAAATGCCAATTTAATCGAGCCATGAGGTTGTGAGAGCAAATTTAAAGTTCTGTGTCATAAAGGTTAACAGCACCTTGCAAGTAAAAGAGTAAGAGGCAGATTAAATGATTATGATGTCCCCTTTCAATAATCTCACAGCATGCTTGAGGCTTTCCTGCTCATGAATGCATTATGGAGATATTACAAGAGGAAAACATGTATTTACTCAGATTAAAAATACAACAGCTCTTTTGCTAATCTTCTATACAGATCACATAATAGGATTGGTAGTACTTGAAACTATTAGTAATAACACAAACTTAAATCTTTACAAAAGTAGTTTTACTTTGACTGATAATTACATTGTAATTGAATCAAAGAGCTGCAATGCGAATGAAATGCTGACAGCTTCAAGAAATGCTATAACACATTATTACTCATTTGTAAACATACATTACATTCGTGTTTGGTTTTTTGCAGTCAGTGTTTAATATATACTTTCAGCTTTTGGCAATAAACTGTGTTGTATGTTGAAGGTGTTCTATTTTCGCAAACATTGCTGCTTCCATCTTCACGGTGAATGCTCCCACGATGACAAATGCAGTGTTTGCCAAAATGTCGGAACACCTTCAATATTTGATACGACTTATCCCTGAAAGCCAAAATTGCGCGTACTTTACTGTTGTAATGGGTCAGCTTTCTAGTATATGGCCACAGTAAACGAAAGAGAATCTGTTTTGACACCTCACTAATTCACTTCCAATAATCCTCAAAAGCTGTAACAGGAATATGACCAAGCCAATCTTTTGCATTAAAATATGCAAATAACTGCTCAACAGCAAGTCACGATTCCCCATTTTCTGTATTACTGAGCATAGAAATTTTTCTTTTATAGTATTCAAGCTTTGCTTCTTCCACTTTTATTTCCAACTCATATTTCTTTGTTCTCATTTCCAAGTCCATATTAATTAAACTGATTTCTTTAGTCAATAGTATTCGTCGTAACTTGGCTAGATTAGCGTTCTTTCTTCTTGGTTCATGATGGCTTGTTTCCACATAGTCATGTATTGGCATGGAGTAATTGTCAGATCTGAATTGTCCTGCTGGTCCACTGCTGGAGCCTGCAAAATTAAATGTCATCTTTAGTACAAGTAGAAAAACCAACAGTTTTACACTGAATAAAAGAATAAGATTGTAAACACATTTTAAAAGAGTGAAGAGAGAATTACAAAATAAGGTTTTGGACATGAATGTACAACAAAAGACCCAAGAGGAAGACAGAGGCTGTTAGGAAAGATATCACACACAAAAGAAAGATATGGGAAGATGACCCACATGAAGTGGACACGTGTTTGGAAGGAGAGGAGGAAATGTCAAAAGGGCTCAAATAAGTGGCATTAGTCTAATGCCCTGTATCTTGGTCATCATTTCACTCATTCATTTCTACTTCCAATTAGTAATATAATACTGGCATTCCTCTTCATAGATCAATCACACAGGATGCATTATTTAAGGGGTGAGGGAAGGGAGAGAGATATAATTATACAAAAGTTCTCTTTGTAAGATTTTTTCAACTGATACCATACTGTATTTTATTCATAATTTAACAATGTCATAAACTGAGTCACTGATATTTACCCTCATCTTTTTCATTAGTATTCCGTATTACCTGACATTTTTGATTATCAGTCCTGTTTAGGTAAGATAATCAGGATTCTACTGTCCTTTCGTGCTACTTTTCAGCATGTGGCTACTGTTTAGATAAGGTAAAAAATTTATATATCACTGTTAGCATTTATTGACAGCTTCAAATAAGGCATATAAATGGTAAAGCTGTATCTGTGCATAAGTAATGTACAATGAAAGCTTAGTGAGAGTACTGAGATAAAGCCCTATGTATTTTAGATGTCAACACGTTACAGATGGTCAACTTTATGCTCAAGAAGCTTTACATTCCAGGTACTCCTTGGACAGAAGGTTATGTGGGCTTCAGAAACTACCTCCCCTGCTGGGAAGCAACCCAGTCTGTAGCCACACTGTTTCCCACCCAACCTTAATTTGACTCTTATAAGCCCACTTTCACATTTAAATATCCTTAACCCACACAAATATTTTAAGTCAACAGACCGAATCTTTCATTTGGTTCTGCATTAAGCATTTCAACTGACAGTTTCTCATTCAGAAATCAAATTTAAGTAAACAATACTAGAGACCGACCAGCCTCCCAAATAGTTCCAACTTTTTGCACTCGAGAAAAGTTATTTTACCTTGGGGTGCATGGAGATGTGTGGATGAATTTGAATCAACGTCACTTGGAACAAGAACTTGAGATCTCAATGCAACTATTGGATCAATGCTTGGTTTAACAGTTTTTTGTTCATCTCCATACACTTCCTTCCTAATTCTTCTCTTTAGATTTTCGTAGCACATTTTCAATTGTCGAGATGTCCTTATCGGTTCGGCTAAAACTATTTCGTTAAATTCTTGGGCTATGCCTTCCCACACCTTTTCTCGTTCCTGAACACTGACTTTATCCGTTTTCTTACATTCAATGATGTCCTGATGTTTTTCTATGATATGTATTAAAATATTTTTCTCCTGCGAGGAAAAATTACTGCACCTCAGCCTTTTCTTTCCGTCCACATCGTTTCCAGGAGAATGTGATCTATGGTTGTCTTCCATATCCATCTTCTACGCCTTCTTGTTTTGTAAACAAACCCTAAAAGTGATGTTCCATTGTTTTCGCGATGAGATTCCATTGGTGTTTGCTAGTTATACTCTAGTATGCTGCTGCATAAAATCAAACTTTCTGCCATCTATACGTCATTCAAAGTACTAACCTCTGAGTACTGCTATTATATTTATTATGGAGTTTCTCATGTATTTAGGATATTGAAAGGAATGTGCCTAAATTCATTAAGCAGAATCCTCAAGAAGGTACTAGTACGCTCAGGTAGTCGAAAAATTCCCCATCTTTAATGGAATCAAAAGGTTCATTATCCAGATTTGAACTAGTGTAATCCATATAGGATTTCAGACTTTCGCGGCGAGTACAATCATATGATAGTTTAATCCAGTCTACTCTCTCCAACTCTTCTCCCCAAAGAAAACCATTTTAATATTATCCTCCAACATACGCCAAAGTATTAAGAAAGCTTTCTTCCCATCAGGCCTTCCGATCAAAACACATGTTTTTCTCATCTGTGCCGTATGTGATATATGCTGTCATCTGTCGATCTGTGGTTTAGCGCGTAAGTTGCTGGGTGTTGATATTAAATGCTCAATCCTTTGCGTGTGTTTTACCTTGCTAAACCAATTTTAACCTTATCGGAACTTGTCAGATGTAGAAAGATGGTTTCTTAGCAACAGCGTAGTTGCTTTATAAAGGGACAAGCTCTTCATGTATGCATAAACTGTCCCCTCACTGAAATGCACCGAACTGCTGGAAAGGTGTTTAGCTTGTCACACCACTTTCCCTAAAACTATACGGAACGCCTGCTAGACCTCGTTTGTTTTCTCATTTGTGGTCGTGGCGCCAATATTCTATGAATCAGTTCGACTTGTTCGGTCCGGCTAGTTCGTTTTAGTATGGGAATCATTCACAGAAAGTCGTTTCATAGTTCGTCAGATCCATACAATGCCAGAATTTAATTTGTACTCCGATGATGTCACTTGTAATTATTAGTTAGATTAACGAGTGTGAAGCCTTCCTCTGTTGAACAGAATTTTACAAGAACATGTAATCGGCCTACAAGCTCCCGATCTATATATCTGAAATTGATTTAGTACAATCCAAAGTTTACAGTAAATAATTTTGCTGGAGGATATACACCGGCAGCTAATGTTTATTCATTCACAGTTTTTATCTTTCGTTTCTCAGTATTAATTATTAAGTAAAATAAATAATAAACGAAAGTATACCAGTAAATGTTGAGATAAAGAACAACTAAAACGGATGTGATGTTATTTTATAAAATTGTTATATATTGTACGAAGTAGAGAAGAAAATAAAATTTTCGGGAAATACTGTTTCATATAAAAAAAGAAGCAGTAACGTATTGTACAGATGGTATGGTGGAGGCTGCGAGCGTTGCAATGATTCCTGGCGGCAGGGAGTGTTATTGCGTTGCGGAGCTGTGCGATAGAATAAAGAAATTGACTTTTCAGTGTATTGGGGTGTGTTGGTTTGCAGAATTACCTTCCTTTTGTTGTCTGCTGGCTGTCTTGTAAATAAGATTCAAATTGTTCAATGAATTTTTATACTAATCATTTATTTTAAACAGATTTTAGTAGTTACTGATAGCTAAACTGTTTGTTTTATGACATAACCGTTTATGTGTATGTAATTGTGCTTTATTACATTTCGAGATAAAGTTGTTTGTTTAATTTTTCTTTTTACTGTGATATTAGTTCAAGATTGTTGTATGACTGCTGCCATTTAGATATACTTGAAATTGGGTTGTGTTTCTTACAGATACCAACCCTGCCTACTTGAAGTTCATGAGCAGGTTGCATTTGCAAATTAAAGGTAGCAACAGAGATGGACACTGGCCTCAAAAAAGGACAGAAACCAAATCCTAGATCAACTGCAAATCCATTGTCACTCATAACATTTTGGTAAGTCAGTGAATGGTGCAGATATGTCATTGCAAATTGTTCAACTACAAAGACAAAGGGATTCTGTTTCTGGTATAAAAGTGTGAAGTGCATGATGAAACCCAGGTGAAGGTATGAGTATTCTACTTTGTAAAACTTAAGATTTTACTTGAAAAAATCTCTTTTGTAATGGAGAGTAAATGTAAGTAAGACTGCCCCACTATATGCCATGTAGGCACTCATTCTTAACCTCAACTCAAGATAGGGGTGAGTGTTCAGTGTCATGCCCTGGCTATGCTTTATCCCCAGGAAGGGATGCTAGTACCCATTGTGTAGGAGGGTGGGTGGGCCCTGGAGCTGGTCTGAACGCAGAGGCTAGAGAAAAGAATCCTCTGAGAGAAAGGTTAAAATACTTATAGGGATTCATGCTACTGTTTGTTACATTTCAATATCAGTGTGGGATCAGATTTAATGAAGGTAGAAAATTGAGTGGTTTAGTGGTCAGAACACAGAAACTGTTGTCCACAATGAAAAAATTCAGTGTTTAAAGAATTTCCTGAACAATAATTCTACATACATACGTAAGTATCATAATAGCTTTAAGTTTTTCAGGCTACATACTTGAGCACTTAGTTGATCTCAGCTTATGAAATACCCTAAATGGTGGTTGTGAAGTGATGATTATGTAGAGATGCCAACTGACATACTGTTTCAGGTTTGTCAATGTTTTATCTTTTTTGAACATAGCTACTTGTAAAATCATGATAAAAGGGTTAAATGTTTTGGCATATTTATCTTATACATTAATTATATACGGGTTTTATCATTAGAAAATATTGCCTTAATACACTATATTATCAGAACGAGTGATTTTCTTGAAATGTAGGACTTTAAATATGTTAACTGAAAATAGATAATCTCATACTGTATTGTGTGGTACTTTTCACTAAATAGAATAGTAATCTGGTGTACATGCTCTTATCATATAATGACGTGAAGACCACTTATGTCTTAATACCTGCCATATTTCTGTGCAAAAAGTCTCAATAGATAATTATATAACATATCAAAAGCACTGATTGCATTTATATGACATAGCACGGATCTTCTCTTTTTGTTTTCAGAGAATTTCATTCTTACTTCTCTGTTTTGCTTGTAGGTGGGTCCTTGGTATATTCAGATTAGGGATCAAGAAGGATCTAGAAATAGATGACTTATATGATGCACTTGATGAACATCGATCTGACTTCTTGGGAAACAAGTTAGAGAGGTAAGTTTCGCTTGTGATGTCAAATCCTAGAAGAGCAACAGTGTTGTCCTCACTACCATGAAAACTTCAAATCTTAATTTTGAAGTAGTCTTTAGTAGCATAACATCCATATAGAATTTCTTGAAATTCCATTCTCCTGTTCTCCTACTATATGTATACAGATAGAAATCGTGAGTGATTATGTTGTCATGGGTATCTCTCCTACTTCACAAGTATCAGGTCTCCAATTTATGCGGCAGCGGTCGTGACTTGCATTGCGTAGTCGGCCGACACACTGTTGATGTCGGCGGGAGTCGTGCCCGTTCATCCGGTGGGTGACTGGCGAATCAGTTTCAGTGCCGCTAGTAACAGCGAACTACAAATATTTCTCGTCACTGATACATGTTATTACATTAATTGTTTTTACCTTAAACCACAAAAGATGTTCAAAGTGACTTCCTTGTGCTTGCAGGCAACTTCACATCTCGTTAACATGTTTCGAAATACTCGACGAAGCTCTTCTTGGGAAATTGTCTGCATGCGAGTTTTACCTGTGGGGCATGCTGAAGAAAAAAGTGTATGTAAACAATCCGCACACTGCAGAAGCAATTAAAGAAAATATTCGACAATTTCCCAAGAAGAGCTTCGTTGAGTATTTCGAAACATGTTAACGAGATGTGAAGTTGCCTGCAAGCACAAGGAAGTAACTTTGAACATCTTTTTGTGGTTTAAGGTAAAAACAATTAATGTAATAACATGTATCAGTGACGAGAAATATTTGTAGTTTGCTGTTACTAGCGGCACTGAAACTGATTTGCCGGTCACCCACCGGAAGAACGGGCACGACTCCCGCCGACATCAACAGTGCGACGGCCGACTACGCTATGCAAGTCACGACCGCTGCCACATAAATTGGAGACCCGGTATGCACATCTGTCACATTGGTATTACCATTTGTAGGAAATTTAAAGGGAGCTTGGAGTAGCCTCCAGTAACTTACATAACGTTTGTACAGAATGTTATGAAAATGTATTCAGCCATTCACTGCTTGTTATATGTGATGGATGGAGTGAACTTTATGGGTGCTCCACAGCAATGCAAATGCACCTGAAAATTCAGGAAATAGGAAATGACCATGTGGACTGTGTTAACTGCCTCAGGATAGAGTTCAGTGCTTGATTCTTATGAGCGCAGTAGTGAACCTTCGAGTTCACTCCAGAAGGTGGTGAATTTCATGACCATCTGAGCAGTTGTTGGTTCGTCGAGGACTGCACTGAACGTATAATAGTTAATGTTAGCAATGGTTATACATAATTACCTCTTCTTGATATTATGAGCTTATGGTAGTTCTGATATTTTATATTTAGATAGAATATAAGAGCAGAAATATAGAATTCAGCTGATACCAAATCTCTGTTTCCAAGATTGATAAGGACAAAACAACTTTTGTATCTTTTCGCAGTACTGGGAGATTAACTTCAGGCAGTGATTTTAATGTGGATACAGATAACTGCTGACAGTGATAATGAATTTGTAGATAGGTATGGTGAAAGTAGCATCAGAATTACATCAGCATTTAAAAGGATGGAATGTGAATAGTGATTTACATTACCAAGAGAGCATTAATATGATATTGTTCTGAATATGCTTTCACCTACCTCTTTTTATATATTACTTTAAATTTAACCTTCCCTTGAAGAGAACTGAACTTTTACGAACATAGACATCTAGAAAAGAATAAAACCACCTTGAAATATGGCCACTAACATGTTATTAATATGCGCCCTATGAAATTGGTTATTATGTTCTTCATTGTTTGAAAAATAAAGCATAATTGAAAAGAATCTCTTATTATAGCTACCGAGAACACTCTGTAATGGAGGAGAACACTTTTAAACCAGTATCCTCTATGATAACATTATTTGTAGATTACTAGTATTTCATCTCTGTTGATATTTTTCCACCATTTTTGTAACTCTGTATTATTTAAACATTACTTGAAACACATGTATGTTTGTGTGTTGATAATATCCACAGTAAGATCAGGAAATATGGCTTTAGTGGAGTCTTCAGAAAACGTTCCAAGTGTCATACTTAAACTTAAATCGTGAGTTTTGAACTGACCTGAATGGAAGTTTTATCTTTCTTTTGCTGGCCTGCGTAAACCATGACCACAACAAACTTCATTCTGCTTCTTACCATGTACAAATATGAATCGATAGAATAGAATATTCTCCCCAGAATACTAGTTTTTTCTGAGTTTTGTTGGCTTTATCAACAGTCCGATGTGAAGCATGAAATGTCTTCTTACCTCACGGATTCTGAAAGAAATGCCATAGTATATGCTGGAGTTACATTTCAGTTTCATCGAAGCTTGCAACCTTTTAAGAAGTATTTTGTTATTTTCTGACTTTCCAAAAGGCACCACAAGCGTACAAACTTCGTAATTTTAAGGTTTCCCAACATTTTAAATGTACTTGTTGCCTGCCATCATTATCAACTGATGATGGAGGCAGCAAGTATCTCTGAAATGTTGGGAAACTTTCTACAGGACTACATAGTGTTACAACCAGAAGACACCCATCTCTAATGATGCCTACTAACATTTATTTCATGAAATTTTTGGCACATTTTCAATGAAAAGCTGCAAAATTGAGCCTGTTGGCTTCAACATGTATGTCTGTCCATGTTCGCATTTAACAACTCGGCTGCTGAACAGATTTTCATAAAATTTTATGTTGGTGATTTTATTCAAGTTTGTTGGCACAGTTGGTTTTGGTTAAAGTTTGACAGCACTGTCAGATGCTTTACATGAAGATCTACTCGTGTTACATGGCATTGCTAAAGTTTATATTTTTCAACATACAAAGGTGTTTTTGTGGAAACTTTAACATATTTATTTGCTGTTGTCTTACAGTTTGTGTAAGTTTTGCTACAATAGTTTGTGTATTGCTATTTTTCTCCTGTACTATTTACTCTTAATTTCATCAACCACATATTGTGAACTTAATAACAAAAATTCATTTAACATTACATTTTATAATTTATGCAAAGGCAATAAATAACTTTTAAATCATCAAGATATTGTTGTGGTCTGTGGAGTGAAAATATGTGTCCCTCCCAGCAGTGAGTTTAGTGAACTGCACATGCTTTTTTGAAGCTTTTCAGTCGGACTGCAAACACCGAGGGACTGCAGGATCTATTAAGAAGAGTAATAAATAGATTGCGGTTATTTAAAGTGTTATCATTTTATTTGTTTCAAGTAAACTAAAGAGGAAATCATTGTCACTTGTAATAGAGTGTTTAATAAATCTGTCAGCTAAAAAGAACTTGTGTAAAATGAGAGAAATTGTTACAGTATGATTCTTTATCATTCTTTTGTAATATCTCTCTGCAACACACATTTATTTGTTACAGGTTGTGGTTTGAAGAGCTGCAGGAAGCTAAGGCAAGGCACAGAGCACCAGGTTTGCTCCGAGTTTTGATCAGGTGTTTTGGTTGTAGTGTCTTATGGCTGGGGCTAGCAATGTCTGTTCCAGAGTTCATGTTTCAGTGAGTATAAAATCATTATTAGTAAACTGTGACAGTCTTGCATTAAACAGGGATTTTATTTATCTGTAGGGTTGGAAGATTGATAAAGTAATGTTAGCATGAATCCCTGCCATTTACATCTACTGTGTACCACTTTCCTCTTCCACTATGCTTGAGGCTCTGCCTTATCACTTCCATATACCCTGCTTATTCTTAAACATAAAACAAATAGACAGGTTGGTGTGGGTCAAGAAAATATAGGAATGGTTAGGTTAGGTATGTTACAAAGACGTGTTAGGTTTAAGAGGTGCTACCCAAAAGTTTCTAGCCTTCCCTTATAGTGATGACAGTGGTCAAGGCACATAGTTTTGGTTGTAGGTGGTCATGTGTTGTGAGTAGTTTGGTGGGTGCACAGAGTATGCACTGGAGTATATATTTTTGGAGTATATTTGTTGTATTTGTTCAGGTGTTGGGATTTGTAGAATAATGGATTTAAAATGATGATGAAATTACATCACATTTGTTATGTAATGAATGCAGTTTAGCAAAAAAATATTTTGTAAATGGTTCTGCTCCTTCTACAGCATTGCTCATTACAAGTTTAAGCTTACAGACCATAAAAAATTGTATATAAACAAGTCATCTGAATACAGCAGAGGAAGCAAGTCCCAAAATATTGTGCATTTAAAATATCTTAGTGAATGGCTGTTGGTCAATGTAATTGCATTGTGTTATATAGGCCATTAACATGAACCATTATAGAATCTCACCATAGAACCCAGGCTTCACAGTAAACCAACATCTGGCCTTTGCAATAACTGCTTTCTGTCCTCTCCAGTATCTTATGACATGAGGTTTATACAACAATACAATGTGTGCCACAGAAATTGTCACGTGTGCAATTATGCGTTTGCCATCTGCAATCAATCACTAAATTTCTCCTTGTTGTGGAAAGTAGTACTGGAGAAAACAAAAGTGATAAATAAAAATTAATCATAAGTACTCAGGGAATAGGCAGTAGGCATATGATGTATGCTTTTTAGAGTGTACTAGGGCTGAGTAATTGTTTTGCATTTGTACTCGTCCATAGAATGATTCAGCCAGTCTTCCTGGGTGGACTGATCCGCTACTTTTCCCAAGGTAGTGGAATAAGTCATGATATGGCTTACTTGTATGCTGGCGGTGTCATTGTCTGCTCCCTTTTTAACATATTTTGGAAGGCCCCAATCTGGCTTGCTGTTTTACACACTGGCATGAAGATGCGTGTTGGTGTTTGTTCCTTAATCTACAGAAAGGTAAATGTTATATGACAAAACATGTCTGATCTCTTGTTCCAGTACAGTATTTTTCTGACACACTGTCTTGTATACAACCAGGTTCTTATATTACCTAGTCCGTTCAGGTATCTAGCTGGTGTAGATCACTCTGACACCTTTATATAGTGACTAGAGTTCCTGGAGAAATTGTATTTTAATCGTATAATTGCTTAAGGCATAATGTAATTTGGTCTGGTTGTTTCATTTCTTACAGAGATTTATCATTTGGTTATGAGAGTATGTCTTTACACTTCTGCATATCCACCCTAGTACCTGACAGGAGAGACGCACCCTGTCCTTATGTACAGAATAGGTGGCAGTGTCTGACTCATGTTGGAAAGTATCTGGTTTGATTTCTGGGTTTGACTGCCCTTACTGATGTTTCAGATAGAGAGTTTCACAAATTCTTGTTTCAGGCACTGAGATTAAGTAAGACAGCTCTTGGGGAAACAACAGTAGGACAAGCAGTAAATCTCCTGTCAAATGACGTAGCCCGCTTTGACAAGACCTTCTTGGTCTTGGCTTTTCTAGTGATTGCTCCGGTGGAGACTATGATCATAGTGTACTTGCTGTGGAGCAGGATTGGTATTTCTGCAGTTCTTGGAGTTGTCAGTATTCTGCTTGTTATACCAGTTCAAGGTATGTGCTAAAAAGAGAAGTTGTAGGCACCAGTATGCCTTATGAAGTTTGATATTACTTAAGCTGCTATGGAATACTTCTATGCATTTGAGCTTGTCTGATCAATATTTTAGTATTTCAAAGTCTTTAAAATGGTAACATCTGAAATAAAATGTAACCATATATATCAGTTAAGAATATACAGGGGGATTTTTAATTACATACAGTAAATATAAAAATCATGTTCTATTCCTAGAATCAACCCAAATACTTCCTATAAACATTTTGTCACAACTGGTTCATTAGTGGAAATTAGAAGAATTAGGAAATTAAATAAAACAATATATTTTAGGAGAACATTTATTTATTTATTTAATTTCCACATAACAGCTTCTTAATGTGTGCAAAAGTTGCCCTTGGTGGACTAGTTGTTTGTGTTTTATTTTAATATAAATACCTAGAGTATATTGTGGTTCTAAACTGCACACAACATTCTTGGATAAGGAGAAACTACTCTCTTAAATAAGGTAGATAGATTGTACACATCATTTGCACCTAGGGTAGTCTGTCTGTCTCCTGATATTAACCCTGAAATAACTGTTGTTACTGCTTGTCATTAGCATCTTATCATTCTCTCTTGTTTGTCTTTTTACCTTACCCTTAAAAGCAGTAGACTTCAGTTGACTGTTCACTTAACATTTCTGAATTTTTTTAGCTGGATTTGGAAAGATGATATCAACACTAAGAAGACGAACAGCCGGAAGAACAGATGAGCGCATCAGGTTCATGAATGAGATTATTGTAGGCATTCAAGTGATCAAAATGTATGCCTGGGAGAAACCATTTGCACATCTTATTTCTTTGGCTCGGAAGTAAGTTCTACTATTGAATATACATTGCTTGTCAAGACAGTTTACACCACTCTAAAAGATTTAAATGTTTGCATATGTCTGTCTGTTCAGGCACACGTGCTATGAACCATTATGTCTAATGTCTGACTTTTAGGCGCAATGAAAGGCAATGTCTACCCAACATCTTTGACTCTTTAGTCTCCTAGAAAGTCTTAATCTTACAATTATTTAAATAGGGCCTCCAATATGCCATTTAAAATAGTGCAAGTAGTTTATGTAATGTTGTTACAGATGATTCAGAAAGAGAATTTCATTTTACTTTCAGACATGAAATCAAAGCAGTCAGGGCAGCTTGCTTTGTGCGTGGTTTCCTCTCCTCTTTTGGAAGGTTTGGAACTAAGATTGCCATATTTTTCAGCATAGTCTCATACGTTTTGCTTGAAGATGACATTACTGCTGAAAAGGTTAGTCTAGGCTTTAGTTGACATCTTCACTTCCAACTCAGTTTGCTTCTTTCTTTAAATTTTGCATTAAAAACGTTCTAAGAGACATGTGTCAGATTTGAAGTTCTCATGGTGGCAAGCATGAAGATGACCGTCTTCTGCGTTGTAGCACAGTATAGTCTAAAATGGTGAATTTCTGCCAGACTACATAGCACTACAATGCAGAAGACAGCCATCTTCATGTTATATCACTGATCTGTGTGACTGCTTTGCTGGAATAATTTCATTTTCTGGGATCTTTTGGCCAGATATTGTATTAAAAATAGTTAAAAGCTTGCAGATTAAACCAATATTTATGTCAAAAGTTTGGTGTTGTACATTTTTTTTTATTTTTACGTTTTGTATTGTTTTACGGATGATACGTGTATATGACACGCAAAATGAAGGCTCTTATAAGTATATAGATGTGGTGCCACACAGATCCCCTTCACTCTCTCCTCAGCAGTGTATGTGGCAGGTCATGCTTGGTCAGCTGGTAGAGCAAAGCGTGCATATTAACCCCAGGCTTTCGTATCCCCTCCCCTCACAAAGGATCTTTCAAGTCTATTTATGTGATAGAGAGAAACAAGAAGGCAGGAATGGTAATGTTGCTTGTTTTCTGTTTTATAAAAGTTGAAGTTGTGGCAGCATGAGCAAGCAATTGCAAGTAATTATTGTTAGTGTTGTAATTTAGTTAGTGAGACCAGAAGTATTAAAATGGTGCATAAGTTTTTGAGTGACCAACAGAACACCATGCAACAAGGAGTGTGAAGCCAGTGATAGAATAGTGCTGACTGCATGGTTCTAAGCAGACACACACAGTACCATGAGGTGGTGGTATGTAACTCAGAAATAGACTGGAAGTCAGAGAAGGAAAATTAATAGAAAGGCAGATATTTCCAGTGGTACTGATTTGGTGTTTTCTAATGCAGTAATCAAGGATAATTATCCATCTTGATTAAGAACCCACTGGTAATCAGTGATTATGTCACAGTATGTATTATATATTTATTTGTATTTACACAGTATGATTTGTGCATCTGGTACTTCAGAGGGTTGTTATTTGAGAACAACTTTGTAGTACAGTGATGTACTTACCGTTGTATTTCACGTTTATTGATGTGATGGGAAATTCGTTTCCCATGATATACATTTACGGTTGGCTAGATGGAATATATTGTCCCATTACATCATTCCATTATCAAAAGCTTTATACATTTGCAACATCAGACCCTTAGTTGTCTAAAATACTTCTGTGGGCTCCTGAGATTGTCAGAAATTAATTTGTAATTGAAGTATTCACTTCAAAGGGTGTGACATCCTACTGAATGTTTAAAAAATCTTAAGTGTCTGTTCTTTCCTTGTTCCACTAGATACTAAGATCGGTACATGTGTGGGTTGTTTTTGTACACGTTCTCCTTCAAAAGCCCCCAAAGATATAAATCCAATGGCAATGTATCTGAGGATCAAGGGGGCCACAAGTTTTGAGAAATAATGGGACCACCAAAGACCTCACATAACATCTGCATTGTTGAATTTGCTGTATGCACTGTCGCCCCATCTTGCTGAAACCAACATTCTTGTTCATCAGTTTGCAAAATAGAAATTAAATTTATAATCACTTCCTGACTGTGTTCAACTGTTATCATTTCACTGAAGGAAATGGGACCAATTATTGTCCTTCAAGGGACAACACACCATATTATGACTTTCAAGGAATATAACAGCCTTTCCTAGAAGGTATGAAGATTTTCAGTACTCCATTTTCTGTTGTTTTGACTATTTCCGTATCACCTTAATTGAAACTGTGCTTTATCACTATAGAAAACATGATTTAAAATATCTATACCCCCTCAAATGAATTGTATAAACCATCTGCGGTACTCAAATTGTTATTCCTTATCATGTTCCCTCAGTTTGTGTATGACATGTACTCAGTTTTGATGAAGTTTTAGAATCATTACAGCCATTTGTATATTTCTTTAGGATAATCCACTCTAAAGAGAAAGATTTTCCATTGACTCATGGTGAGTATTGAAGTAAAAAGTAGGTACATTATATTGTCAGCGGTGTGGGCAGCTATAGTTCATATCCCAGTAAGGTTAGTTTTTAATCACCATTTTTATAATGGCTTTTGGAGCTTGTAAAATTTTATTTATTTTTTAACTCTTTTGATGTATTTATTTTATATTTTTCCTTTGTTGGTATTTATGATTGAGAGGAGTGCAGTTGGTTTCTCAATGTGAAATGTTTCAAATAAACAGTTTCCCTTCAAGATATCTGCAGATTGGGTGTAAGATTTGAAGAAGATACAAAGTGACACAAAGAAAATGAGACAGAGACACATGACAAAATAAATTAGCAGTAAGTACAATGCAGCCTTTGAAGAAACAGTTAAAGCTGCTGAATTGTTTCAAAACCAGCCATTTACAGTTTTTCCAAATCACTCCTGACATTAAAATGTGTATAAAAGACAGCTCAAAAACATAGAAGCTCATTTTATAAGGGTACTATACATATGTATTTTACATAACTGATAATAGAAACAAAACACAGTCTGATATATGAAGTAAAATGGTGCTCAGTTCCCCCCTCCCCCCACACAAGTCCCATGTCAGCTTGACTATAAGGTGACATCCACATGATGGCCCAAATCGCCACCCCCACATTAAGAATTACAAATAACCAAATATCTGGGAATTACCATGGTGGTCTTTGAAAATTCCCAAACTTTGCTTGGATTGAAACAAAGATTTGTAAATCAACAAATCAGACAAAATTTATGTATGTTCCAGTTGGACATCTGAGATTGTGATCGAACAACAGAAGCCAATAGTTGCCACCAACTCAAAACAATGGAGAAAGGGAGGGAAGAAATGAAAGCGGGGTAAGGGCACATGACCACAACCTCAATCCATCAGCATCATCATGTGGTGAAAACCCAAAGCATGACATAAAAGAAATAAAGTAAAAAGTGCAAGGAGTTACAAAAATAAGTGAAGTTTTACTTCTTCCAAAGCCATTATAAATTTTATTAAAAAAACTATCACCTTGTTGGGAATCAAATCCTGACCTCCTGCATTGTGTTAGACAGTGGAAGTGCGCTTACTTTTATGAGACTTGTAAACTGACGGTGAAGAACGTGAGAAGTAAGATTGTGTATTGAAAAGAAACAGTTAAGTTTGGACACCTAATATTTTGGACAGGTGGTCAGAGATGTTTTTATTGCAAGCTACAAGTAAACATTTTACATTACCTAAGTATAAAATGACATAAAAATGGCTCTTTGTATGTATTATGTACAAAGTGTATAGAAGCATAATCATTGGTTTTTTTATATTTTTTCCAGATGTTTGTAGTAACTGCATACTTCAATATTGTGAAGATTGCTATGACTGAGTTTTTCCCATTAGCAATAACAGAATTAGCTGAATCATTAGTATCAGTTAAGAGAGTACAGGTAAGCATTATTTACTATGGTTACTGAAATTTAAACAGTTATATTAACACAAAATAATTTCTTATATGACTTATTTTTGAAAATCTAAAAGCATTATTTCAGTTCCTGAAATGTAATTAAATATTTGTTCAATAATCTTATAGTTGTGCTGCTGTGATGAGTCAACCATAACCGCATATATGCAGTAATTTTGGCCTGACTGGCTTCCTGCATAGACAAACACAACATGGTAGACTATGTAGTTACAGCTTCAAAGGCACATAAGAACCCCAAGGCCATCATTATAATGAATATTAAGTTACAATGAAACACCAATTTAAGGTTTGCCTGGTCAACAAGCATTGTGTACTTCAAATTGAGAAAAATTTTTAATGGGGTTATATGAAAATTAAAGGCAGACAAAGTCTTTGCCACCGTTATGTTAAGGTTAAAGCCAATGTATTGTCATCATTACTCTGTATTTGTTTTTCCACCCACAGACATTTCTGCTGCATGATGAAGTAGCGACTGCAGCCAGTCTTGAGAGAAAAATGGGGAAAAGTGCAGTGACATCTAGAGGTGGTGTCGGGAATAGTGAAAGCAGAGATGGAGGAGTGATGAATGACTCCCTGGGTTCTACATCACCTGTACACAAACACATAACTCATTATGCAGTGGGGGACATTTCAAATGAGAGTTTAAAAGGTGATACTGTGGAAAGGAAGAGTGTTAAAATTATTAATGTGACAGCCAAGTGGACTGGAGACTCACCTGAAAACACCTTGACTGATGTTAGTCTAGAAGTGAGACCTGGAGGGCTTGTGGCTGTCATTGGACCTGTTGGGTCAGGAAAGGTAAACACAGTTTTGGTGCCTTGAACTATGTTTGCTTAATATTCCCAATCAGGCATCTCGCCTGCTCAAATACATGGGAATACCACATAATGATGAAATCTCCCGATCAGCCAGGCACCAGACACCCTGCTCAGACAGAGATCATTAACCCCATATAACTCTGATTTCACTGGCACCAGTCATGTTATGATGGAACAAACAGCATCACATTATTAATTATCAAACTTGTAAGAGAGCATTTGTAAATTGAAAATCTAGAGACACTAATGTAAAAAAGTGCCAAAATCATTGTGCTTTGCATACATTTCCTAACTTTTTCTTACTTTTTTGGGATACGTGAGTGATTTATCCTCTTGGCTGCTTTGTGCGTTGCTGTTGCAAAAGTATCATTTGATGATTCACCGTAGTTTGCATGGTCATTTGGATGTCCTGGAAATTTACATCAACATCAGCAATACACCTTGTGTTGTGCAAAATAGTCATTAACTTCAAGATGAATATGGATTCCCAAACTTGGAAAACATGAGAAATGTCTGTTGGTGAGGATCATTGTTGGAAATTGTTAGAATTAAAAGTCTTTTACGACTCGTATGTTGATGGTTTTAGTTGTTATATCAGTACAGTCTCATGCAGTAATATCAACAATGTTTCAGACATCACTACTGTATGCTATCCTGAAGGAACTGCCCCTCAGCAGTGGCTCCATAGTGGTGGGAGGATCATTATCATATGCATCACAGGAGCCATGGCTGTTCACAGCCTCTGTACGGCAGAACATACTATTTGGTCAGCCCTTGGATAGGAACCGGTACCGGCAAGTGGTGAGGGCCTGTGCCCTTGAACTGGACTTCCAGCAGCTTCCCCATGGTGACAGGACCATTGTGGGGGAGAGGGGTGCTACCCTTAGTGGAGGGCAAAGGGCAAGAATCAACCTTGCTAGGTGAGTTGCCTGAAAATATGAGAATAGGAAGATGCTTTTACAGGAGACTGTTAAGTGGCCAGAACCTTTGCTTCTGTTTGTTGACATGTATACTGTCTGTCCGAACAGAGAATTGTCTTGACCTTCAAACAGAAGTGCCCATCTGTGCAGGCACACAGCTGTTCTAATGTACAGTTTGGAAACATATGCCAATTATTGGTTCTTTATTAGTTTTTTAGCCTTCTAGTGTTTCATCTCGTTCTTCTATTCTTAGTATTTCTTGGTTTATGTAGAATTTAGTATTTAGCCTGGTTACTGGTAACACACACAGTATGAAATACGCAGATTGCTCTAACAGTAGGAAACATGAAATAATCATGGGGGTAAGCTTGTCAACATTGTGCAACTCAAATAGCTATGTTATTACACATTTCCTTTCAGCACATGTGGCTAGACTCTCTTTCTACTACTTTTGCTGATAAACTTGCATTTTGCCAAAAAAAAGTGACACAGGCACTTTGAATCCTAGACCACAGACCTATATTAAAATGTAATGTTGTGATTGTGGATTTGAAAAGCAGAGATTTTAGTTATAAATTTTATTTGTCTCCCAAAATAAAATAGTAATTACAATTTGTAGTTTTCTTTGAAGTCCATTTTCTTGTTCAGAGCAATTTACAAAGAAGCAGATGTGTATTTATTGGATGATCCATTGTCTGCTGTTGATGCGCATGTGGGGCACCACCTGTTTGATCGCTGCATCTGTCAGTTTCTAGAGGACAAGTCTCGAATTCTGATCACACACCAACTACATTACCTCAGTTTGGCTGATAATATTGTCATCCTGAACCATGTGAGTGTATCATATCGTACCAAACTTGGTAAATGAGATACGCATTTGCTGTTCATATAACAGTTGTTGCTAGTACTCTAGCACTTGCCATTCACTTATGTTTGTGTACTACTTGATTGTGGGGGTAGTTTAATATTGAATTTAGACATGGCTTGCCATTGTAGTAGATGGTGTGTTTCCATCTTAATGTGGGTCCTGACAGTACAGTATAGGATATGTAAACAGACAATGTTTTGAGGTGTGTTGAAGATGTTATGTTCAGTATATTTATGGTCTGAAGAATGCTATAGTATTACTCCTTGGTAGGTTGGAGATTATTTTATTACAATATTGTTACTTTTCTTCTGTTCTCATCTGCTACTTTTTCTTGCTGACTATTGTTTTAGAAGAGTTGGGAGAAGCACTCATCAGGGCATGTAGTCTGATAGAACTTTACTGATGTTTCAGAGGTCCTTCACCCTGATGGTTGAGGCAAAAAGGACCTCTGAAACGTCGATAAACTTATGTTAGACTGCACTGCGCAACAAACCAAAAGTGTGATGTTTACTTTTGTGGAGTAAAGACTCAAAGATAAAATCAATGATAATTTCCATTTTTATGGCAATTCTTCCTTAATCCAATTCAAAATTATAAGTTTATGTATTTCTGAGTGCAGTGTCCTGCTGCCAGCTTGTAGTATCAGGTGGAACTAAATTGATACTTTGAAATTTACAGTATTTCAGTTTTAGATTAATTAATAATTGGGTCTAGGG